CCACACGCACAAACCCCCCCCCCCCCCCGCTACACGCACACACTTTCCGACCCACCCCGCTGCCCCTTAAGAACAGCTGCAAATAACAATGACATTAAAGCCAGGTTTTTTTTAACTGGTAATGTACTGCAAGTACGCGTACTATAATATAATATAATATAATATAATATAATATACCGCGGTGTATACACGGACCTTGATTGTGGTTGGGTTTATCTCTGATTTGCACTTTTTTCGTTACGGTGACGTCATACTGTTTCACTTTACACCGTCTCTCTCTCTCTCTCTCTCTGTCAAACCGAACTGTGAGTGCAACGTGCGAAGGGGCACAAGTTGTATTCATGAAGTACCGCGTGGGTTCCGGGCTGCGTAGGAGAGAGCATTGGGTCATTCCCCTGTGGTTCCTTCGGTTCACGGACCATGATGCAACAGTGTGAAAAACCTCATTTGTTCCAGCTGTCACTATGAGTGAATGTCAGGGTAGGGTATAAAAATACGAGTGACGTGTATTTTTAGGGTTACGTTTATTTTATTACTTCATGTACTTTTTAAAAAAAAAAAAAAAAAATCTGGTACTAACGTTTGATTCGTTCTAAATGTGAAGTTATGGTCTATAGACTCGATGTCACACCTGTCACATCCTCTTTTGGGTCATTACACGCTCGTCCACATTTCCTCTTCCACTATTGCTTCATTTTTGTCTGTCTCACTTCTAGTGTCTCTCGGGGGCTTTACTTCCCGTCCTATCGGTTCCAATCTCAGCCTAGCTAACCTGAAAAGAGGAGAAGAAGGGATCGTCCAATATCTCCCATGTGGTCTCCTTTGTTTGTGTCCCCCTAGTGTCTTGTTAGTTCCCCGTCCCTTGTGTGTACCAGACTGGCGTCTTCACTACCGTCTTCGTCTGTCCAGCTTCAACCCTTACACCGGTGGTTCTCAATTATTTTGGGGTCAGAATTCTTTTTCATGCCCACCTCCCGAATTGAAATCCTATTTAGAACCTGATATGTATTTTCCTATCTGTACAAACCACTGTATGCGTTGCTGCCACCTAGTGACTGGAGGCTTGTTTATCGTTCAAGCATTACGGCGATGGCACGTTTCTGTCCAAACGTGCCATATTCCATTAGAAACTTATCACACCCAACACTCTCTAGGTCCCCATGGCGCTTCACCACCCCCCCTCAGGGGCCCCCGCCCCACTATTTGAGAAGCACTGTTGTACACGAAGTCACCCGGTGGGTATATCTGACTATAGGGGTCACCGACGTGGTGCCCGGGGTCACCTGGTATACCCCGTGGACTTAAGGCACTGTTTCTCAAAGAGTGGGTCGCGACCCTCAGGTGGGTCGCAAGAATTTTTTTTT